GTTGTTGTGTGTTTGACAGAAGTCTCGTTACGAGGTGTATCTATCGTTGTTTGTTTCACAGAAGTCTCGTTACGAGGTGTATCTGTTGTTGTGTGTTTGACAGAAGTCTCGTTACGAGGTGTATCTGTTGTTGTGTGTTTGACAGAAGTCTCGTTACGAGGTGTATCTGTTGTTGTGTGTTTCACTGAAGTCTCGTTACGAGGTGTATCTGTTGTTGTTTGTTTGACAGAAGTCTCGTTACGAGGTGTATCTGTTGTTGTGTGTTTCACAGAAGTCTCGTTACGAGGTGTATCTGTTGTTGTGTGTTTCACAGAAGTCTCGTTACGAGGTGTATCTGTTGTTGTGTGTTTGACAGAAGTCTCGTTACGAGGTGTATCTATCGTTGTTTGTTTCACAGAAGTCTCGTTACGAGGTGTATCTGTCGTTGTGTGTTTGACAGAAGTCTCGTTACGAGGTGTATCTGTTGTTGTGTGTTTCACAGAAGTCTCGTTACGAGGTGTATCTGTTGTTGTGTGTTTCACAGAAGTCTCGTTACGAGGTGTATCTGTTGTTGTGTGTTTGACAGAAGTCTCGTTACGAGGTGTATCTATCGTTGTTTGTTTCACAGAAGTCTCGTTACGAGGTGTATCTGTTGTTGTGTGTTTGACAGAAGTCTCGTTACGAGGTGTATCTGTTGTTGTGTGTTTGACAGAAGTCTCGTTACGAGGTGTATCTGTTGTTGTGTGTTTCACAGAAGTCTCGTTACGAGGTGTATCTGTTGTTGTGTGTTTCACAGAAGTCTCGTTACGAGGTGTATCTATCGTTGTGTGTTTCACAGAAGTCTCGTTACGAGGTGTATCTATCGTTGTGTGTTTGACAGAAGTCTCGTTACGAGGTGTATCTGTTGTTGTGTGTTTCACAGAAGTCTCGTTACGAGGTGTATCTATCGTTGTGTGTTTCACAGAAGTCTCGTTACGAGGTGTATCTATCGTTGTGTGTTTGACAGAAGTCTCGTTACGAGGTGTATCTGTTGTTGTGTGTTTCACTGAAGTCTCGTTACGAGGTGTATCTGTTGTTGTGTGTTTCACAGAAGTCTCGTTACGAGGTGTATCTGTTGTTGTGTGTTTCACAGAAGTCTCGTTACGAGGTGTATCTGTCGTGTGTTTCACAGAAGTCTCGTTACGAGGTGTATCTGTTGTTGTGTGTTTCACAGAAGTCTCGTTACGAGGTGTATCTGTTGTTGTGTGTTTCACAGAAGTCTCGTTACGAGGTGTATCTATCGTTGTGTGTTTGACAGAAGTCTCGTTATGAGGTGTATCTGTTGTTGTGTGTTTCACAGAAGTCTCGTTACGAGGTGTATCTATCGTTGTGTGTTTCACAGAAGTCTCGTTACGAGGTGTATCTATCGTTGTGTGTTTCACAGAAGTCTCGTTACGAGGTGTAACTGTTGTTGTGTGTTTCACAGAAGTCTCGTTACGAGGTGTATCTGTCGTTGTGTGTTTCACAGAAGTCTCGTTACGAGGTGTATCTGTCGTTGTGTGTTTCACAGAAGTCTCGTTACGAGGTGTATCTGTTGTTGTGTTTCACAGAAGTCTCGTTACGAGGTGTATCTGTTGTTGTGTGTTTCACAGAAGTCTCGTTACGAGGTGTATCTGTTGTTGTGTGTTTCACAGAAGTCTCGTTACGAGGTGTATCTGTTGTTGTGTGTTTCACAGAAGTCTCGTTACGAGGTGTATCTGTTGTTGTGTGTTTGACAGAAGTCTCGTTACGAGGTGTATCTGTTGTTGTGTGTTTCACAGAAGTCTCGTTACGAGGTGTATCTGTTGTTGTGTGTTTCACAGAAGTCTCGTTACGAGGTGTATCTGTTGTTGTGTGTTTGACAGAAGTCTCGTTACGAGGTGCATCTGTTGTTGTGTGTTTCACAGAAGTCTCGTTACGAGGTGTATCTGTTGTTGTGTGTTTCACAGAAGTCTCGTTACGAGGTGTATCTGTTGTTGTGTGTTTGACAGAAGTCTCGTTACGAGGTGTATCTATCGTTGTTTGTTTCACAGAAGTCTCGTTACGAGGTGTATCTGTCGTTGTGTGTTTGACAGAAGTCTCGTTACGAGGTGTATCTGTTGTTGTGTGTTTCACAGAAGTCTCGTTACGAGGTGTATCTGTTGTTGTGTGTTTCACAGAAATCTCGTTACGAGGTGTATCTGTTGTTGTGTGTTTGACAGAAGTCTCGTTACGAGGTGTATCTATCGTTGTTTGTTTCACAGAAGTCTCGTTACGAGGTGTATCTGTTGTTGTGTGTTTGACAGAAGTCTCGTTACGAGGTGTATCTGTTGTTGTGTGTTTGACAGAAGTCTCGTTACGAGGTGTATCTGTTGTTGTGTGTTTCACAGAAGTCTCGTTACGAGGTGTATCTGTTGTTGTGTGTTTCACAGAAGTCTCGTTACGAGGTGTATCTATCGTTGTGTGTTTCACAGAAGTCTCGTTACGAGGTGTATCTATCGTTGTGTGTTTGACAGAAGTCTCGTTACGAGGTGTATCTGTTGTTGTGTGTTTCACAGAAGTCTCGTTACGAGGTGTATCTATCGTTGTGTGTTTCACAGAAGTCTCGTTACGAGGTGTATCTATCGTTGTGTGTTTGACAGAAGTCTCGTTACGAGGTGTATCTGTTGTTGTGTGTTTCACTGAAGTCTCGTTACGAGGTGTATCTGTTGTTGTGTGTTTCACAGAAGTCTCGTTACGAGGTGTATCTGTTGTTGTGTGTTTCACAGAAGTCTCGTTACGAGGTGTATCTGTCGTGTGTTTCACAGAAGTCTCGTTACGAGGTGTATCTGTTGTTGTGTGTTTCACAGAAGTCTCGTTACGAGGTGTATCTGTTGTTGTGTGTTTCACAGAAGTCTCGTTACGAGGTGTATCTATCGTTGTGTGTTTGACAGAAGTCTCGTTATGAGGTGTATCTGTTGTTGTGTGTTTCACAGAAGTCTCGTTACGAGGTGTATCTATCGTTGTGTGTTTCACAGAAGTCTCGTTACGAGGTGTATCTATCGTTGTGTGTTTCACAGAAGTCTCGTTACGAGGTGTAACTGTTGTTGTGTGTTTCACAGAAGTCTCGTTACGAGGTGTATCTGTCGTTGTGTGTTTCACAGAAGTCTCGTTACGAGGTGTATCTGTCGTTGTGTGTTTCACAGAAGTCTCGTTACGAGGTGTATCTGTTGTTGTGTTTTTCACAGAAGTCTCGTTACGAGGTGTATCTGTTGTTTTGTGTTTCACAGAAGTCTCGTTACGAGGTGTATCTGTTGTTGTGTGTTTCACAGAAGTCTCGTTACGAGGTGTATCTGTCGTTGTGTGTTTCACAGAAGTCTCGTTACGAGGTGTATCTATCGTTGTGTGTTTCACAGAAGTCTCGTTACGAGGTGTATCTGTTGTGTGTTTGACAGAAGTCTCGTTACGAGGTGTATCTGTCGTTGTGTGTTTCACTGAAGTCTCGTTACGAGGTGTATCTATCGTTGTGTGTTTGACAGAAGTCTCGTTACGAGGTGTATCTGTTGTGTGTTTCACAGAAGTCTCGTTACGAGGTGTATCTGTCGTTGTGTGTTTCACAGAAGTCTCGTTACGAGGTGTATCTATCGTTGTGTGTTTCACAGAAGTCTCGTTACGAGGTGTATCTGTTGTGTGTTTGACAGAAGTCTCGTTACGAGGTGTATCTGTTGTTGTGTGTTTCACAGAAGTCTCGTTACGAGGTGTATCTGTTGTTGTGTGTTTCACAGAAGTCTCGTTACGAGGTGTATCTGTTGTTGTGTGTTTCACTGAAGTCTCGTTACGAGGTGTATCTGTCGTTGTGTGTTTCACAGAAGTCTCGTTACGAGGTGTATCTGTTGTTGTGTGTTTCACAGAAGTCTCGTTACGAGGTGTATCTGTCGTTGTGTGTTTGACAGAAGTCTCGTTACGAGGTGTATCTGTTGTTGTGTGTTTCACAGAAGTCTCGTTACGAGGTGTAACTGTTGTTGTGTGTTTCAAAGAAGTCTCGTTACGAGGTGTAACTGTTGTTGTGTGTTTCAAAGAAGTCTCGTTACGAGGTGTATCTGTTGTTGTGTGTTTCACAGAAGTCTCGTTACGAGTTGTATCTGTTGTTGTGTGTTTCACAGAAGTCTCGTTACGAGGTGTATCTGTTGTTGTGTGTTTCACAGAAGTCTCGTTACGAGGTGTATCTATCGTTGTGTGTTTCACAGAAGTCTCGTTACGAGGTGTATCTGTTGTTGTGTGTTTCACAGAAGTCTCGTTACGAGGTGTAACTGTTGTTGTGTGTTTCACAGAAGTCTCGTTACGAGGTGTATCTGTTGTTGTGTGTTTCACAGAAGTCTCGTTACGAGGTGTAACTGTTGTTGTGTGTTTCACAGAAGTCTCGTTACGAGGTGTAACTGTTGTTGTGTGTTTCACAGAAGTCTCGTTACGAGGTGTAACTGTTGTTGTGTGTTTCACAGAAGTCTCGTTACGAGGTGTATCTGTTGTTGTGTGTTTGACAGAAGTCTCGTTACGAGGTGTATCTGTCGTTGTGTGTTTCACAGAAGTCTCGTTACGAGGTGTATCTGTTGTTGTGTGTTTCACAGAAGTCTCGTTACGAGGTGTATCTGTTGTTGTGTGTTTCACTGAAGTCTCGTTACGAGGTGTATCTGTTGTTGTGTGTTTCACAGAGGTCTCGTTACGAGGTGTATCTGTTGTTGTGTGTTTCACAGAAGTCTCGTTACGAGGTGTATCTGTTGTTGTGTGTTTCACAGAAGTCTCGTTACGAGGTGTAACTGTTGTTGTGTGTTTCACAGAAGTCTTGTTACGAGGTGTACCTGTTGTTGTGTGTTTCACAGAAGTCTCGTTACGAGGTGTAACTGTTGTTGTGTGTTTCACAGAAGTCTTGTTACGAGGTGTACCTGTTGTTGTGTGTTTCACAGATGTCTCGTTACGAGGTGTATCTGTTGTTGTGTGTTTCACAGAAGTCTCGTTACGAGGTGTATCTGTTGTTGTGTGTTTCACAGATGTCTCGTTACGAGGTGTACATGAAGGTGCTGGAGGCCTGGCAGACGCTGTCGGACTCACCGGTGGGAGACCGGCTGATGGAGCTGGATGAGGGATTGTGGACAGGAGTGATGGACGAGGAGAACGAGGAAGACCCCGGGATGAAGAGATCGCACTCCAGCCCGTCTCTGGAGTTAGAGACGCCTCCTCCGCCCGTCGTGAAGGTCCGACGCAACATCTCAGAGAGACGCACATATCGAAAGATCGTCATTCCTCGGAGGAACAAGGAGATTTGAAAACTTTTGGAAACTGTTACCCACAAACTGTCAAGACATTATTGATGCACTTGAAACCTTTAAAGTTTGACATCATTTAATATATTTTTAATGTTTGTCTCTTCCAAGGTAAAAAATAGCAACAACTGTAGTCTTTTTAAATATACAGTATTTTTGCACAAAGCTCTTATTATTTGACCCTCTTCATACTGTCCACAAGAGGGAGATGTTGCTCAAGATGTTTAAATGAAGGACAATAACTATCACAGTTCAGTAAGAGTTTAACTAACGTGTGGTCAGCAGAACCACAGTAATCAGTGAAGCAGAGATGCAGTGTGTTCAGTGCTGTCACTCAGGAACACTTGTTCCAGACACATTTTTCTCTGTTTAAATCATGGTGATAAAGAGATCTCTGATCGTGCCACTGCTGAA